GACTCTCTGGGCAGAAGAGAAGTCACAGATTTCTTTGCACAGCATTATCAGCCATGTAATGCAACCATTGCTATTGTTGGTGAGTGTCAGGGCACTCTTTGTGACAATTAGTGATATGGCAGCATGCAGAGGTCACGTTGGTGAATTCGAAATGCAGCATCTGCCACAGCAGAATTTGGCATTTATCAGCACGGGGTGTTGCTTTGATAGCCGTTGACTTCATGAACCCTTTCCCACCAAATGCCATCTGCATCGTCGGCAGGCTCCTTGTTGGTGCCCATGTGTGCCTAATAATGGCACTTTCAGGCCTCTACTATTGGAACTGCTAATTGAAGCATTGCAGGATTGGGAATTGTATGTTTGTGTTCTGGCTGAATTTTGATATCCTTGAATTGCACAGCCTATGGACATACAGCGATTGCTTGTATACACTGGGAACATCTGTCAAGAGGCAGTCTATCAAATGTTTTGATGTGTGAAGTTAGGCCAAGCCGGTTGCTGCACGGTGGTTGCACGTTTTGTGGTTCAATTGTGCATATCAAAGCAAGGAAGAAGCCGTCGGATACCCTGTTTCTTTCGTGTTCTTGTCAAATTTATGCAGCTTTTTGGTTGTCAAGCATGCGTCTGCTAAATGGCATGTGTTTGTCCAACCCTGGCAGATGGGAATGTGATGACGATGGTCCTCATGCATTCGCAGGTGACGTGAACCCTGGTCAGGTGGAACGCTTTGCCGAAAGGTATTTTGGGTCGTGGACGAACACCACTACCAGCGCCTGCAAGCCAGCAGCTAGTTTGAACAGCGCAGACTCCACTGAAGGCCTGCCAATCCCAGAGGTAATCGTCCATAAACTTGTGAGTGCGGACTATGTAAAGGGGCTACAGGAACAAATATTGTCTGATTGGTTTGAAATATGGCCGAGTTGGTGGTTCAATATTGGTGGCCAGCTTTATCTGATGTGCTGGCCACTCCCCCTCTTGTTGGCACTGATGAACGGTTCAGTGGTGTGCATGCTGTTTCTTCCAGCAGAGCAGATGCCAGCATTCTTTGTGTTGCCTGTGTTGGCTGGTCTCTGTGCTGCCCTTCCAAGTCCATCATTTTTGACAGAAGCTTAGTGCTGCAACACCGTTGCGAAGTGTGTATTGTGAAATGGCCAAGCGACCCCAGGCAGCAAATGCAGGACATGAACAATGGCAGGCGATTGGGAACGTCGGTAGAGGCTGTTGATGTCCATGCCTGGCGCACAGAACGGCGCCGCTGGGAAGTTAGGAGTTGTGCATACCATTCGATATGGATGGCGACTCAGGCTGCAGCATAATGTTGCAAGAATTTGGCTATTATCAAATTGTCATCACATGATGAACAACCGTCCATCGGACCAAAGATGCTGGGAACCTGCGACTGTCTATTCCGCTGTTTCAGCGACTTCCATGTAAGCACTGGCGAGGAACACTTGGCCGTCATGTGTTCAGGCCACTCGCCTGCTGATTGTGCGCCCAGGAAGGCTGCGTCAATAGGATCGAAAGAGCGAACGAGCTCTTTCGCTCAAAGCCGACTGAAGAAATTAGGTGAAACGGCCATTTTCTTCTGGTGTTATGATGTTCAATTTGTTCATGTGACGCCCCCTAAAATCATTGTAACGAGCTTGTCAGTAGCGCGCCACGAGTTACAAGGGAACCAAATCAAAGCTGAATCGTAGTTGAACCGTAGCTGGGGCTTCCCAGTTACAGCTTGGGTACTGCTGGCAATTTAGGTACTGCGGGTCCTTTTGGGTTGTTGAGGCCTTGTAGGTCTTTCAGGCCCGCCACACCTTTCATACCCTTCAAGTCTCTTGCGCTCCTGTAACCGCGCTTCAGGCTGTCTTGTCAGGGGAAACGAAGGAGTTGCGGCGCACCTCCAAGTCGGGGCCCGCCGCCCTGATGGGATTTTATCGCCCACCGCTGACGGGCCAGAGCGGCGTCTTGCTGGACGCCATCCGGGAGGTGCTGGTTGGAGGACGGACGGCGCGGATGATCAAGGATTTGGTGATCCCGGGCGTGGCCCTGAGCGCCCAAGTGGTGACACAGTATCCCGGGGCGAAGCATGCAGGGTTGGTCCTGGCCTACGGGATTCCCGGCCGAGGTGTGCACTTTGGCTGCGGACCGTAGGTTTTTTAACCCTTCCGCTTAGTAACGTAACGCTTGGCCTTTTTTGCGTAGAAACAGTAAAATAAATAACGCTGTTTAATGAAGCTTTGTGGAGGAACATGCAAATAACGGGAATAACACTCTGAAAAACAAAACGCGGAGCGAAAAGAGTGACGGTGAAATTTTCCGATGCGGAGGGTTTTAAAAAGCTGCGGTGTCTGAGGGCTGCGCTGCACGCCCGAGTGACCTTTTTGTGCATCTATCTGCGGATCGCGAGCCCGGCCGCCATCGAGACACGCTTCAAATCACGCGCACGCATCGTCGAGTTTCTGGCGGTCGGATGTTTGCTCTTGTTGTTTATTGTCGGAACTGACAGGTCACTGTCTTTGCGGCTGCAAGGCGGCAACGGCTGTAAAATTCGATCCACAGTGTCTCTGGTGATGGAATTGGCTAGGATTTCACGACAGGGTTTGTGCGCTTGCCTTTTGGCGTCGAGGTAGCAAGTCACGGTGCAATGCAACGGGAAGAGTTTAAGGGCCATTACTGCGCTTGCAGCTTGATGTCCTACTCTGATGCAGCTGGATTGCAAATGCCAATAGGAAACCAGCAGTTCCTGCACGCGAAAAGAAAACGGCAAAACTTGGAAATTTGTCGTCAATCACGTCAAATCTATTGTGCCGCAAGTGTTGCAAGACAGGCAGCGGCAATTTTATTGTGTTGCCATGTGTCGTTGTTCAGGGCGGTCGGTCGACGACGTTGCGCAGGACCTCAAGGCTCAACTGTCCAGGATTGCAGATTCGGGCGTGACCAGGCAGGAGCTTCAGAGGGTCAAAAAGGTGGGGGCATACTGCCTGAACACCGTGTGCCGTGCGCATCCAGATGCCATCGTTAGCGCAATGCGTATGTCGTTTAAGAGACACCTCGTGGTCTCGTTGTCTCCGATCCGATTTTGAGATGTGGGAACGGACAACCAGAGTGCTTTGGCAGCCTTGAGACTCCGCTTGATCAAAGAGAGGCTCACGGCATTGCTAGATTGCAGCAACTGTTGCATTTTCCATTGCATGCCCACCACGACCGCCGTGCGTCACAAGGTGCAGCAAAATAGCCTCATTCTCCACAGCTCACAGCAATCGATGGCCTGGCCATGGAGAGTTTGGCCGCTGGCAGATCACCCGCACGGGTTTCGAATGAGCCTGAAGCTATGTATCGAATGGTCACACTACTAGGGCAGCGTAGGCTGCCATTGGAAATCTCAAAGCTGGCTGAAGATGCCCCAATGGGCCAATTCACCCCGTTCAAATTTCCTTGCCTACAAACAATATGCTCAGATCCAAATGGCTACTGTGGTAAGAAAAGAGTAGGCCACATCTCCTCTTCCCCGTTGTTCGAACCAGACGCTGAACCGAAGTCGGTGCGGTGGTGCGAACTCAGACAATCTTCACTGGATGAAAGTGCAGACTTGTGGGATTGGGCAGGGTTTTTTGTGTAGTGTGTTCGTGTAGTGTATTATTTGGGATGTTTGTATTTTGGGTGGTGTATTTTCGGTGTTTCACGCGGGAGACTGACGGCCCCACTGTGCACCAGTCCCTGCGATTCGACCTGTTCCAGCTGGCCCGCAGCAACTCGTCGCTGGCAGCCTCCCTGTGCGTCTACAGCACCCTGCAGGGCAGCTGGCGCTCCATGCTGGAGGAGCTCGACGCCATGGAGACGGTCACGGGGTCCCAGATCCAGGAGGTGGCGGCGCAGACGTTTCGGGAGGACAACTGCTTCAGCGGCTTCGTGGAGCCGCTGGAAACGTCGGAGGCATGAACATAGGCATGGGGATTGTTTGCGGTTCCTGACGACGTTGATGGGGATGGCCCGGCATTAAGCTGTGGAAGTCGTCCACAATTCGTTGATGGAGATCGACGTGTTGCAATTGATGAGTGTTGGAAGAACGCGCAGGGGATGCGCAAACGCGTTGCACCGTGGAGGGGCGACCCAGCGGCAACAGGCAAGCCAGTGAATTGCCCGGCAGGAGCAAAACGGGGCCCCGCCCTGCCAAGGAAACCAGGGTGGGCAGAGGGCGATTTGGGGAATTTTATTGGTCGAGTTTGACGCAGCGGAGCCCGTGGCCCCAACTTGGCAATGGCGTGCATGCAGCACCGCCCACTGGCAGCAGGGCAGGCTGCACGCATGGCGAATTGCACGTTTGGCGTGTGGCTGCAGCAAACTAACAGCAAATTGCAATTGTGAACTGGCACTGGCACCGGTTAGGTATGAAGAACCACATTCCTCGCCGGGAGTTCGGCAACGCGTTTCAGACCCGCTGTCAGGCCCTGCAATAGGGCGGCCCTTTACGCCCTGAACTCGCCTCATGTCTAGGTTGACCAGGCAAGGTGATTGCGAGCGCGGACAACAGCTGCCAGGATGGGCGTACAACGAAAACGTACAACACATGTTTGTCTCCATTGGGCTGGCGCAGAAGAGCACCAGCCAATAATGTACCATCAGTCCCCAGGTGGAGATGGGAACCCCGTCATGGGGCAGTCCGCCCGGGGTAGTGGGAGCTGCCCACCAAAGAATAAACGGAGCGGTGTATTGTCACTGTCCTTGCACAGTTGCAGCGGACAGCTGCGTCAAGATGCGTCCTTCGCTGTCCGCCACCTGCCAGCCATCCGGTGCACGGCGCATTCCGATGCGCCGACCATGCCTGACAGCATCGAGCCCGCTGACTCTTCGTCAGCCAGCACACTGCGGTATGCGTAACGACGATGGCGATTACTCCATCAACCACCGTTTCCCCGGCACCGGTGCCAACGCATTCACCCACAAAAAGCTGTGCCCCGTCGTCCCTACAAGGCATTGGATAATATACACACAGGCGGCGAAGGGCGTCAAGCCTGGGACGCCTTGACGGCGGCCACCACGATCGCCGCCGTGCCCTCGCCAAGCACCAGCCCGCTGGCCACCACGATCATGAGCGACGCATGGGAGGCCGGCGACGCCCACAGCCACACCTGCTCGGCCAGCGACCCCAGGAACCTCGGCAGCGTCAGCTGCGGCCCGACGTACATGCCCACGGCAAACCCAATGCCGCTAGGCAGCAAGTTGGCGTAGGGCCCGAGGGACCGAAATTTGAGGTAGTGCTGCAGGATGACCACGGCGGCGGCCAGGGCCGCCCCCGCGGCGGCGAATTCCGCGACCTTGGCTGGGAGGGACCCGCCGTTGAAGAGGCGCGCCATGTCGAGCCACATGCTGGCCGTGGGCACCTTGAGCTCTGGGCCGGGCACGGGCCAGGCGCTCGTGAAGAGGTCATAGGCGACGACTGAGACGCCCACGCTCAGCGTGGCGCCGATCAGCTGGGCGATGAACTGGGGGCGGGGGGACACGCCTGCGCAGCAAGCGGAAAGGCGTGACGTCCAGAGTCGCATGACGGTGCTGGCATGGGTATCGACCATTGAGCATTCAAAGCTTCCAATTTTGCAGCTTCCAATTCTCTCATTTGCAATTTGCTAGTTTACATTTTTTGCCTGTTGCCACTTTCATTTGCTATTGTTGCGGCTGTGTTGTAGATTATATTCGCACAGATACTTGTCCAGATTCCCGACAGCTTCGCTCGACAGCGAGCTTTGAGCCAGGGACGGCCACGTTGCGCCGCCTGGTAACACATCTTGACGCGACTGCTTCATGGCGAACTACTTTGGCACTTCATCCAGGCTGGCGCTTCCTTCAACGCGTCTAGGTGCCGCCGATTGACTATCGGTGTTCAGTGCAATCATAGAAAACCAACAAACCAATGGCCTTGCCCCCCTTGTGCCAGGCCGGACGCAGTCTCGAATGTCGACGGCAAGCTGTCGATGCAGTACTTCCGGAGCTCCACCTACGCAACTGGGCACTAGAGCAGGCAGCCTCCGGACGAAAAAGTCGAAGACAGCGGGGAGACACAAAGCATACCAGAATGGAAGATCATCTCGGTGAGATGATCACGTCCAAACCCAGCACAGAAACATTGAGAAAAGCGAGAAGGGAAAGGGAACGACAAACAAATTTGCTGGCCGCTGTCCGCATTCCCACAGTGTTTCCCAATCTCGCTGGCCAACGGACGGCCTGGGCACGCTGCCGCCCCGGAGGAGGCGACTCACCCAAGAGATGCGCCGTCTTGAAGTCTTGCATCATGTCGCCCGCCTGTGTGGCCCCCGCCTCGGCGATGGCTCCCGCAATCAGATTCGGAACAACCCGGCCAGGCGCCAGTCCAGCAAAGACAATCTGGCGAGACAAGCATCGTCGTCACCGTGGAGCGGAAGGATGGAAAAAAATGGGACGAAAATGTGGCGCCAAAGGGTGTCCGATTACTAATCCAGCGCGGTGTCACAGCTCCGCAAGCATTGGTGCTGTAGGTGATGCAGGTGGCCGATCAGCCAACCGTCGTGTGCTGCGTTTTCAATCCGACAAGCTTCGGCTCTCGCCAAGACGCCTCTTGTCTCCGGTACCTCTTTTATGGATATGTACATTTCCAAACGCTGCAGATACGCAAAGCCGTGGCAAACAATCCCCTCACACCTTGCAGTCGATGCCAGGAGCAGCAGCATCCAATCGATGTTCCTTCAACGTCTCCAACATACAAAACAATTTTGACAAACAACTTCGCCCGAATCAGTGATTCGACCCGATGGCCGGCACAGGTCTACTCCCCAGTCGCCTTCTTTCACGCCAGCTGTCATTGCCACTTTCTTTCGAGTGTTGTGTGGAATTCCGCTGAGGAGGCTACCCCGCGAACTGACTCACGCAAATAGACTCTCTGTCCAGCAATTCTTGCGCTGTCTGCCACTCTTCCACAGGTTTACATTCTTGGGTGGTTAGGCGCCACCGTGACGTGCCGCAGAATTGAGGTATCTCCGTGACACTGCAAGCGACAGGGCCTTCTGAAACTGCACGGCTTTTGCGAGCTTCAGAGAAAACACAATGGAAACAACAAAAAAAAGGGATGCGCGCATTCGAACACGCCTGGTGCACAAGTGAGCACGGCAGATGCGTCAATCTTCCCGGCGACTGGAACGCCACACATGCAACTCTGTCGTCTGCAGGTTGGCAGTTGGGGCCTTTCCTTTTGCTATCCACAAGTGCAGTCCAGGCAGAACTCCGGTCAATTAACGGACCCCCGAATAGAAGCCAAAAGCACATCAAACACTGCATGTGCCATTGTGTACTAGGTGGTGTTCAAATCTTTCCATACCTAGCACCGGGATAATTGCGACGTGTGGCAAGACAGCCTGCTCACCTGTGAGATTTTGCCAACGCCGCTGACAGGGTTCAGGTCTGTTTCCCCAAGCGCCCTCACTGCCAGGACGGCGACCAGCAACGCCAGCAGGACAGCCACGATGGGCTCATAGACCGCCATGGAGAACATCGGTGACACCACCGCGGTGCACAACACTGCAAAAATGGCGAAAGAAGCACTGTTTGGCAACCCATTTTGCCTCACGTCATTTCCTTGCGGGCTGCTAGAAACCTGACACTGTCTCACGATTTGAGCTCAATAGAGAGACAAGTTCCGTGATCAGTGCGTTACATTCTCAGGTTGCCTTTAAGAACACATCCATTCACTTTTTGCCGAAATATTAACAGAAGAACAGCTCACATCACTGCGAGGGCTGGCAACCCCAATGGCAAGCCAGTTCACATTGCTGCACATGGTTGGCAATTCAACCATCGTTTAATGGACCAAGCTGCAAACGATCTCGGTGAACATGAAACGCCCGTGAGCAATACAGCACAGCCAGAGCCAAAGGTGTGTGGAAGGTTCACTGCCGGCCACGTTTCGCCAAAACCCGCTTCCGAAAGCATTTGTCAGGAAACCTGACAAAGCGCTGTCCTTGAACCTATGTGTAATGCCGCCCCTCACTCTGAACTATAACGGTTTTGTTCTTTACCACTCGTGGTCTAACAATACGAAATCCATACACAGACAAACGGCCAACTATCATTTCAATTTTGAAGCACAAACGCCTCAGGAACTGTGGTACATGCTCCAACGTCGCTTATGCATTCATCATCCATGTCATCGAAGAGGAAACAGACTCTATGCGTGCACCTGCGCCACAACCTCACTGAGTTGAGGCTGGATAGGCAGGTGCTGAGCGGTTTGAGACTTCAGGACTCTGTGTCCCGCAGGTCTGGGGCTCTGGCATGGATACTTTTACACTACATTTACCTGCATGAGAGTGAACAACTGCCTGTGGATATAAGCATTCAAGGGTTACTGCCAACAGCAATTTGGGCAGGCTCAAATCATGTGCCAGCTCTCTACCCACCAGTCGCAGCAAGGAGACCCCCAACCCACCAAGAGGTGGGTATGTCGCCACCGTCTGGAGTGGGCGCTGCTTTGAAAACGTGCCGTTGCGATCGTCTGTTGCCCAATTTCATCACCAGTGTTGCAAGCAGCAGAAGCAGCAGTGACACCAGGCTGTCGCTGAGCATGACGGCGAGAGAGACCCAGAGAACCCAACCTGACCCCCAAGTGAAGGACACACAGAGGCACAGACCTCGCATCAGAAACACCAGGGACTCTTTCACAGGGGTACAGTCGAGGTGTTGTGTGCATGGTGCTGAGCAAGATGGGCAAGTTGTTTATATTGGCAGAGTGGACGTTGAGTTAGGAGTCGGCTGTGTACTTGATCCCTAAATGTTGCTGATGTTGAGGAACAACATCCAGAGAGCCAACATTCCTCCCCAGTGGCCCGCTGGATAAGTACTTCGCATGAAAATTGCTGCTGATGTCAGCAAATAGGGATGACCATGAGAGAAACGAAGCTGGGAAAGGCGCATTCAGCAAGATGCTTCCGGTGTGTGCATGTAAAGAGTTGATTGTAACTGCCGGGCAACACACTGGCCAACAACTCATTGCAAGTTTCAAAGCAGCAGTGGGCCAAGAGTGTTGAGCTTTCCCATGGGCTTCAGCAGCACTGACAGTGCTCCTGTTGACTGACGACAATACATTGGTTAGGAACCAGATGTGTCCTTGTCGCAGCATTGACTGTGTCCTTGTCGCAGCATTGAGTGAGCCCATCCCCTCTCCCACTTCCCACACCCTCACCATCCACCCACTCATGTTTTGCCACCCACCCAAAGCAGAATTTGGGACCGGCAAATTGCATCACAGTATTGCAGGTTCAGATACAAATTCTTGCATATTGAAGTATTATCTTGGCCAGGATGACAGCACCCGATCTCAGCACTCCACTTTCTGCCCAGGCTCAAAAGTTGCACTTTCATCCCACCTGTTGCACCGTTCTCTGTGCTGCTGATGGGCCCTGGAGCCCACCCACGCCTCCTGGCTATAGGCCCTAGCCATGCAAAGCCAGTGAGGGCCCCGGCAAGCATTGACCAGCATGTACGGGGGCCCATGATCATGCCCTGGCCGATGTACCCCATCTTCAAGCTCAAGATCCAACCCCACTCGGTGGCTGCTTTGAAGCCCAGCCAGCTAAACACAGGGAAGTCCTTGAAGATGTATCGACAACTCTGCCCCTCCACCTCTGTAGGCAAGCCGTCGCTGTGGCAAACAGCCACCTGGTCCCAGCACAGCACACCAGTGAATACTGGCATCAAGTACCTCACTTAGACAGCACAAATTGGTCTGATGTACACATGGTCTACAGTGTAGACTCTACGTCCCATTCGCACACAAATTTTGTAGCAATCATGATACAACACAAACAGGAAACGCAATTTTGCAACTGGCAACGTGTCTCACTGGTGACCAGAGTGAAAACACATTTTCAGGAGCAAGCTCCCCATACAGATGCCTTGCACGGCAGCAGGGTGCTGTGAGCCATCTGTATCTGAGTCCAGAAGCAATATATACTCAGTTGAAATTCCCTGTCATCTGTGTGGATCAGCATAACAGTAGCAGTCCTTGTCCTTCCTCACAATCAACTTGCAGGTCAGCAGTTGACTCATCCAGTATATCAAAACAGTGGGTCAGCAGGTGGAAGTAAGCCCATCATCGCCTTGAAAGGCACAAGTCAGTGTTTACCCACTTTTTGACAAATAAAATCAGTGGAGGACTGAAATCAGTGGACAAGATACTCATCAGGGCATCACGGGCATCGCCAGCCTGTGCTTCAGACTGGCACCAAAGGATCCTTCATGAATCAAGGACAAAACACAACTGGACCACTGCCAAAATGGACACTCATGTGCAACAAGTACGCTCAGATTTGGCAGCCATGACAGCACCAAGGGACAGCCAAAGGCCTGCTCACCAGCTCAGCAACCATTTTATACAAAAAGGCAAACGAAAAAGCCACAAGCAAGGCCACACATGAAGTCTTCCAGTCCCCTGACACTCCCAACTCTTCATGCCCCTCTTCCTCCTCCTCAATGCTTCGCATCTTTGCGCTCAACGATGATAAGAGTGACTGCATCGTTCCCGCACGCCCAATTTCGGGTATTTCTTGCGGCGGGACTGGCGACTCAGAGGCCCACACGAGGTGTTCAGCGTCGGAGCTAGAAGAATTGACAAACCACATAATATCTCACATAATATCGCATCAGCGACTTCTGCAGCATCCTTTACGACATGGACAAAGTGTGGCACCCATATGTGGCTGAAGGAAGGTGCCAATGTACTAGAATAAGTGACATACTTTCCTTTCTTTCAAGAGGAAGACAAGCTCTGGCATGCAACACCCTGCAGTTCAAACAATTGAGCCCTCGCTTAGTGGAGCGGCCAACTGCACCTCAAGCGCACTCAGCCCTATTCACACTTTCTAACCTGGTCTCATAAGCCCCTGAGGTATTCGTTCTACACTCAAGGTCTTTGCCGCATACTCAAGTTGTGGAAGAGCAGGCCATCCATCAGGAATGCCCACCTTATTCCAGTGTGAGCCCCTGCTGCCCGTTCCTCAATTCCTGCTCCATCCTCCCCTCCCTCCACATTATCAAGCCGCTCATAGGCCTGCACCCCTGACTCGTTGTGCATCAGCTGTATGACCTTTGCTGTTGCGGCACCCGACGGGAACCTTAACCGTTCCCTCACGATGGTCTGTGCACGCAGGGGCACAGCTGTGAAGACTCCAAGATAGGCAACCGCCAGGGACCAGAGGATGAGCTGCAGCACGCTCAGCACCACATGGCCATTCGGTGGGTTGTCTGTGGGTGTGAGCATGCCCAAGGCAGGGATGATACCCACATAACCTGGAGTGAAACGTGTTGATGAGCCAACAGTGATGCGCAGTGAGAGGCAACATAGAACATGATGCGCAGTGAAAGGCAACGTAGAACGTGATGCGAATGAATGCATTGGACTGACTGACTTTCCTCCATAACAGCAACAGCACCAAAAATGCACCAGTCGCACACATTTCTCTCCTTTGAGGATGCATTAATTCAGTCAGTTGACTTGTCTTGTTGTCCATTTGACAGAGGGCAGTTGACAACGCCCTTTGGAAAGTGGTGCCCCTCAGTACAAGCTGGGCAAAGGCTTTGAAGAAGGCAGATATGGTACGAAGATTTGGCAGCCAGGGACAGTGGCGAGGGGGGAAATGATATGATTCAAATCGAGGCAAGCATATCCATGCACACGAATTGTTTCAGCATTTCCGTGCCTGTCTTGTTGCAAATATGGCAGCAGTTCCACAATCGAATGGGCTGTTGTGTCCTCACAGAAAACAGCACAAAAGATGCAAGACTGAACCAAAAAGCAGGAGTTCACGCAAAACGCAGAGCTATGCCACATATGACAGGTTGACAAGAATCGACACCAGGTCTAGAAACAGCCAGCTTCCCAATGTACACTTCCTGGTGTCTGGTGTGCATCAGGAACAGTCCCAATTTAGCACCACAGCTGCAATGAAAAGGCCACACTTGCTCACCTGCTGTGAGAGGCATGGTTGCTGTAGCCACAGCAGTTGTCTGCAGAATCACATTCTCTGCCATGCTGAAACCCCTCCCCAGACCGCACTTTTGAAGAGCCTTGAATGCTCCAAAGCCCAGCACCGCGGACTGCAGGCTCCCCATTGTAACCCAACTGAATCCCACACAAAGAATTTGAGTCACAAACATTCCACAACGTCAATTCGATATACATTGCAGGTGCCTGCTATTTAACATGTGCACCTGCTGCAGTTTCATTGGAAAATATTCCTTCTTGACAACTGAAAGCGGAATAAAACTAACAATCATCTTCCCACAACATCTCAGATCTGGTCTCCCACTAATCGGCTGTAGCGGCGATCATGACAGCAGTAATACAACGTTGAGAGCAGTACAAATCTGGACTGATGAACACACCTTCACAAGATCAAATCGGTGGTCAGGAAGTTCCTGGATGCAACACATATGCCATGTGGCTGCAAGCAGTGCATCTCTCGGCTTGGCTGACGCCAGCCTGATTGGACGCAGTTATGGCAGGCCAACAACTCACAACACAGCCAAATGTCCCAAGGGTGCTCCCATTCCCACCACATGGTGTCTCGAGCTCAGAAAATTCTGTTAGACGTTATGGCCAGTAAGCCTTGCACCAAGCATATTCAACACTCATGGATGCAAATTCTATATTTGGAATTTTCTTCCTCCCCTGACATTCTTCCCAAAGAGCAAACTCTCTCCGCATCTTGCAAGGTGTTCTCCCCGTTAAGTCGCTATTCCCCTTATTTCACCAGTTGTAATACAGGGGGGGAGGGTGGTTGGGGCCCAGTCCATGAAGTTCCCAACTGCCCATTGACTACACAAGTTGAATCAGAGTGTTGCCAAACTTGATGCAAATCAGCTCAAGGAAGTCTCCTTCCAACAGGTCCTTTCACACCGATGGTGGCCTAAGCAACACTCACCCTGATTGAAGCCCAAAGTACATGTTGGAGCAGCACATTACCACCCCAACCAGCAGGCCCATCCCAACTGCCCGGAAGGTGAATTGCCTGTCATGGGTATCAAGCACACCATTGGCAGCACCATGGCCATTGCTGCCGCTCATATCCGTTGCGACTAATTGGTCCACTGTGGGCATGAGATAAGACAGAAAACTGTCAGATGGAATGTGCCAAGAAACAGCGGGAGTACAATGGGCTGTCGATGGCTGACAAGCACTGCAGTCACGATTTGCTCATATTTTCCCATCTTCCGTATACCTTCGGGGGTAACGCTGCCGGTCCCAATTAGGGGTCGACATGCCAGACCAAAGGCAAAATGTAGATTTCCATACCAGAGAACGCGCAAACATTTGTTAGCGCCTGGCGTTGGGCATCCATGGGATCTGAACAACAGCAACACGTGACAGACGCAGGGGGGACATGTACAAATTTTCGAGAAGGTTGGCGTGAGATTGACCCTGCTGCTGGGGTACCGGTGGACGATGAACGAACGAGGACTGGATTTGTGAGGTCAGCAAATCGCGCACGGCAAATCAACCTCGCGCTGCGGCTCGAAATTCAGCAACTCTACAAATAGGTGCAGCCTATCCAGATTCAGAAACATTTTCTTCGGGCTGCTCAAAATGGGCTTCATGGTCTGCCGGGGCAACAAAACGACCGTCACCCAAGGAGCGCCCAACGACAAAGGCCGAGCCCGACCTGCCACAGACTGGCTCCTCTCGATCTCAAAGGAAGTCGTGAGAAAGTGAGACAGAGGCAGTTGGTGCCCCTCGCCCCGCAGCCTCGAGGCGGGCATTCAGGAACCCGACCTCGCAACGTTATTGTCGCCCCTCTCGGTTGGCTTCAACGCCACAGGGGGCAATTTCGAAGGCCTGGAGACGTGACTCATCGGCAGTGAGTCACAACGAGTGATTCACACACATGGAATCCACACCCTGGTGCCAGGCCGGCTGTCGGTGGCCCCAGTAACGAGAGGGATTTTGCGTGACCACATGTGCGCCGCGATGGCGACCATCGTGTGTGTGGGGAGGCGGTGATTCACCGGTCATCACCCAATCCATCACGACAGCCGTGTTATGTTGCACTGCTTTGCTCGGGCAAGACATGAAGCTGGAGTCAAGCCGACGGCAGCGTCCACGCCACCCCACTGCCTTCTCATGTAAAGACAGTGATGATGGTGACTAATGATGATGACGACCGTGTTATTGTCAGCCGGTTGAGTGATGACTCAAACAGCTCCCTTGGAGTGCTCACAGTAAGCGCAGACTCCGAACTCTTTGCCGATCCAGCGGCGTCCATACGCAGCCTCACTGGGAAGAGGATTGTCCGATACCTATCAATGCCGGATATGAAGCTTATGAAGAGGTTATGAAGGTAATGAAGGGTACTAGGGACTTGAGATTCTAAATTCTAAAACAACCCAAACCCAAAACTGACCTTTGTGACCTTTATGACCAAAACGAGTTCATTGATTCATGACGCCGTGACCTTCATCACCTTCATGACCTTCATGTCCGGGAATGAAAGGTATCGGACATTTGTGACTGGGAAACTCTAACTCGAAGCCAGGGCTTTCACTTTCGCGGTGATCGCTGCCATTTCCCAGTTGGAACTTTCAACACAGCCTTCCTTGCCGTCAGCAGCATGACACACAGCCAGTCTCTTCCTCTCACAACCGCCCGTCCTGCGACTTGTGTCGCAGAGATCCTCATCGGTCACAAACGCCCACACAACACTTCGGTCATGTGCAAAGGCACCATCCAGGTACAGCCGCCGTGTAGGACATGCCATTCATGTCTATAGACTTCAATCAGAAATCAGTACGGGGCATAGTTTCCTCGAACTCGGACACTCTACCATCACAGAACAGCATATCGAGGTAAAAGAGAGAGATAAAACTCTAGTCTTTAACCTCCAACTCACCACTCAAATGCCGCATTATTGACAACTGAGATCGGTCATATGTTCATATGCAAAATTTGGAAACTGTTGCAAACGGAGGTTTGTCAACAAAACGATCGAACTTCCGTGAAGTTGTGGGTAAAGTACAGCCACAACTCCCCCAGCCAACCAGGCTTGGTTTTTACATTTACGTTTACGTTTTTGCTCTTACGCTTTTACGCGTAAAACCGTAAATTTGCAAAAGGCCTATTTTTGCGGCTATTTTTACGTTTTTGCGGCTCCCTGGGACACCCAGGTTATATGATGAAAGTTGCGTACAATGATCAGTCCTCCGCCAACTCCAGCACCTGCAACACAATGTCCACCTCGGCTTTGGCAAGTGCGATGATGGCGCTTAGCAAAAACTCGTTTTCTGCCCCTTCCAGGGCGCCCAGCTGCCACTCTCCGGACTCCGTAAGTCTGTATGTACTGTCCTTATGTACACCGGACAGTTTTTACGTTGTATTTACGTATTTTTACGCATTTTACGCGTAAAAATGTAAAAACTATTTTCACGCTTAAAAACGTAAATACGATCAGTTTTTACGGCACAAAGACCAAGCCTGCAGCCAACTTCTTGCGGACCAGGCACCCTGACGAAAGCAAATCTTTCTGAACTGCACCACTTGCTTGTTTAAAAAAATCATGCTATCCCAAAAATCATGAGTGTGTTCAGAACGCACCCGTGAAACAAAACAGGTCAAAAATGTTAAATTGACATCGCCAATACTCGTTCTATCAAAGAATTACAAGAACCCATGGAACAAATTTCACAGTGGCGGTTTGCTCATGCCATCCCATTACACTCATCTTTGTGAGCACCTCTTCGAAATGCAGACCAGTCGCTAGGCAAGAGACGTTACTCAATCATTTCTATGAATTTGATGCATCCAATTGAACCTGTGGTGAGTATGAGGCTAAGGGGGCAACCTGGAAGAAGTAATAGTAGGAAGCCACCAAGCATTTGCGATTTGCTCAGAACAGGTGCGAAAAGTATGAGCAGTGCTCGAAATCATGGTGCCAACATGATTTGGCTAAGCAGTAACATCGCACTACCAGCACTGCGATTGTGCCCAATGGGTATCCGTCCCGGTAGGGCTAAGCTTGGACTTTACGCCGCAAACACAGAACGTATTTACGTTTCAACGCGTAAAAATAGTTGTAACGTTTTTAACGCGGCAAAAAATGCCTGAAGAGCGTAAAAACTGTCGTATACATTATGCCTGTGCTGCGTGATCAAACCGTGACCGACTGTCCCCTGCGCTCGCCATTGGGCGCAATGGAGTGTATGGGCCGTCCGCCAAGCGTTTCTAGGACGTGAAATGCTTGCGCATAATGCCAGAAAGTCGTGAAGGGCGGTGAGGGGCGAAGATGCTGCCATCTCGCTACCATATGCATCTTCTGCTCTCGAGGGGCAACATGCACTGGTGAAGTACTTAAGTACTTCTATACTCTCGTAAGTACTTAATTAATTCAGCACTAGTGGTACGAGTGCCCCGGGAGGTCAGGAAAGAGTTTGCACGCCACCATGCGGTGCGTAAGAAGAAATGCGAAGGCAAGAAGCGCGCCAAGATATCGATACAGACAATGGCTGATTGCAGTTGCGTGTATTTCAGGATATGATTGTCGTAAAATTTGATCATTCCTCCAAGGTATTATGGGGCCAGAAGAACAACAGAACTGTTCAGGAACTTCCCCGCACTTTTCATGTTGTTGTCATATCCGTATCGGACGGATATCCGTCCGATTGACGGCATCGTCTCCGACGACGACGGCGGGATTCCAGCGTCTCCGACTGTGGTAGGCTATCACTCATAGCAGCCTTGTTGCAATGCAAGAACAAGGTTGGGAGTGAGCCCTGCAGCGTTCATGCCTCCAGCACTTCAGGCCCAGCGTTCGCAGCCACCAACTTATCCGTTGAACGACTTTTAAGTCGCTTGGCACACGGATTAAGATTGCTGACCGTCTTTGCGACCTCGCTGCTGCGCTGCCTTCTGTTGCGCAACTTCTGCAAGCGCGCCTGATCTTCCCGCACGGCATCTGAAACATTGCTACTGCATACAGCAGCCCCAAGTCCATTGATGCCAGCCATATGGAGTCCCCGGCGACCACCGCCATCAGTCACAGTGTTGCCGCAATTGTGGCTTGCACAAGCACCTGTGCCTTTGGGCTGTGGCGTGCATGCATATGTATGAATTATTTCACCGTTGGCTTAAGGACCTTGGGCGACGGTGCTCCCTTCTAAGCGCGCGCACAGGCGCCCAGCTCCCCAGGTTGTGTGGACGGATGTTTGCAAGGTCGTGAGGCACAGTCTGTGCCGCACAGGTTGCAGCGCTGCAACTTTCGGACTATCCCAAAGCGATTACACCTCCGGCTTGAATAAAACTGCAATTGTGTGGTGAAATGTGCATGTTTGATATGATGCGGACATTGAGCATTATTGAGCATTATTGAGCATTATTGAGCATTATTGAGCATTATTGAGCATTATTGAGTGTTGTTGAACATTATTGAGCACTATTGAGCATTTCTGAGCAGTATCGAGCAGTATCCAGCAGTGTTAAGCAGTAGTGAGCAGTATTGCGTACCATCGGGTAATATTGCGTATTAATATTAGAAACACACCGTAACACCGTGATTTTATATGTTTGGTGCAGACATTTCTCTGCATTTGCTTTTCTTACATTTTCCATTGATTGTTTTGATTAGCGAATCGGGGGTACTGGGTTGTAGTACCATGACCTATATGACACTGGTGTCGTTTCTTTCAACAAAAATCTGTTAAAAGGTAAGGCGCGAGGTGGACTGTATCCAATGCGCCTCGCACGCTACCTTTTCACAGATTCTTGCCTGGAAAAACACATTTAGCTAAAAAAACTCCAGCTTTTCCCGAAATGCTGGCGTTTGGGAGCTGGAATTAGTTGTGTAGGCTCCATAGGCCAGTTCATTATAGATGCCAACAACACTGGCCAGCGCTAGCACAACATTTATCGTAATGGGATTCCCGCAAGGTTGACGGCTTCCTATTATGGTAAGTGCTGTATCTCATGATTGCGGCCCGTGGTTTGCAAACATGCAACCAGGCTTGGTTTTTACGCCGTAAAAACTGATCGTATTTACGTTTTTACGCGTAAAAACAGTTTTTACGTTTTTACGGGTAAGAATGCGTAAAAATACGTAAACACAACGTAAAAACTGCCCGGTGTACATAAGGACAGTACATACAGGCTTACGGAGTCAGGAGAGTGGCAGCCAGATGCCCTGGAAGGGGCAGAAAACGAGTTTTTGCTAAACACCATCATCGCCCTTGCCAAAGGCAAGGTGGACACTGTGTTGGAAGTGCTGGATATGACGGAGGACTGATCATTGTGCGCAACTTTCATCGTGTAATCTGGGCGTTTCAGGTAGCCGTAAAAACGTAAAAATAGCCGTAAAAATAGGCCTTTTTTCAAATTTACGTTTTTACGCGTAAAAATGTAAAAGTAAAAACGTAAACGCAAACGTAAAAACCAAGCCTGACAAAAAGGACATTCGCAAATAATTCAGCTGATTGCCGCCAGATCAGGGCCGCCATCAGTGTGCTTCCCCGCTCGGTTTGCCGCGAGGCCCTCCACATCGCCGGAATGGCCTCATCCCTGCAGAGGGTTGAATGTAGCACATCCAACCACCGATTGACAAGGTTCGTTGTGGCAAGAGCAATGTGCAATCGCGCGCTTGGCGTCACGCGGCCCCAGGTACTTGTGGCGCTGCGGCATAGTCTTGCCCACACACCTGCACGGCGGGACTCCGAAGCAACACGACGCTGCTCCTGGCACCACTGTACATTGCTGAGGGCCCCCGGGGCTGCCGAAGTCC